AGAGGAAAAGAGACAGAGAGCGAGGCTTGGCTGTGAGCCACCACAGAGGCAGGGGCCAGACCTGAGTTCTCATCTGAAAAACTGGGTCACAATGCCAGCATTCTGTAGAACTACGCCCCTCCCCCCACAACACATACGCAAGAGCAGAATCCCTGGGCCAGCCTGGCTCATGGCATGAGTTCTCCATGATATCAGACAAGATGAGTTCCCTGGAGACTTTTCGTGGGCCTTTCACCCTCTGCCATATGGTGTCCACAGCCTCCTCCCACAGGTACAGCCATCATCACTGGCATGTGTGACCTCCACTAGCAGCTATGTTGTGCTCGCTGACCCTCTTCCAGGTGCTTGGAATACAGCAGTGACCTGCACCACCTCAACACCACCTAATTTCCCAGGCTGGATTGCCCTTGGAGTGCACTCCATGCACTGAGGGGAAGTCAGATGCACGAGGGCTGCAGGTGGGAGAAAGGGGGGTGTAGCTCATGCTTCCAGGAATGTGTGAGGTGTCTAGAAATAGCTACAGGGCTTTCTTGGAGAGATCTCTAAGTGCAGCTCTTCCGGGTGGAAAGGGAACGGGGGCACACCCCCCTCCCGGACCCCCAGCCCCCTGCCTCTGCCCCATTGTTCCTCCCTTCAACTGCCCAGTACACTGTGCTCAAGCACTGGATACATTTCTCACATGTGACGTCCCCTGTGTTCCTCTGTCCCTTACTCCCACCCCTTCCATTTCTCTTTCTTTCCTGTTCTTCTTCTTCTGGCCTCCCAGAAGGCTTAAGCCAGGTTGCTGCTGGCTGAACAGAAATTGCAGAGGTATTCAGGCTGATGGTGAGTTCTCCTTTGGTTGGGATGCCAGAGACAGGAGTGTACCTGGGCCCCCACCACCAGCAGATTGACTCACAAGATGAAGTACGTCAAGGCCCTCAGGCAGTGTATCTTCCAAAATGGTCATCAAAGAAGGAGGATGAGCTGGGTGATAGCATCCAGAATGCATTCTGATAGCAGATGTTTTCCTCTTTAGGGTTATGTGAGATGCTATCTGTTTGTGGGTCTTCAGCTGGTAGATGGATGGTGGGTAGGGGTTTGGGGGCCTGGGGGGCTTGCCAACCATGAGAGATGGAGGGCAAGGGCCAGAGATGAAAGGCAACGCAGCAAAAGTGAAAGCTTCCTGCCACCTAATCCTACTCTATCAAACTCCATCCTGGAAGCTTGGGTTTCAGGAGATGCTGCCAAGCTGTGCACCCTGCTTGCCAACCCTATCTGTGGGGTCTGCACCACTGACTGCCAGCCCCTCTTCCTCTTCCCCATTGTCCTCCCTGCAAAGAGTTACCCTGAGGGGAGGGAGGAAGTGTGTGGCCTCCAGAGTCTTTTAGGTGGTTCTTAAGGTGGGGTTGCCATTTAGTAATGCATGTGTCACAAAACCCCAAGGACCCAGGGCTGATCTGGTCTTGGAGCTTCTGTCAAACCATGTCCAAAAGAGACGCAGTTATGACTTGAAGCCATCCTGCAGGGAGAAGACAAGAAAGGCATGCGTGCCTCAGAGAGTGATGGAGGAAGTTTACTGGGCTATGGGAGGACTGAGGAGGGGCAGCCACCCAGTCCCTGCGAGTTGACATGGAGTCAGTGAAGGTTTGCCAGGGCAGGCATGCCTCTGGTGGATGAAGAAAGAAGTTGGCCAAGAAGTGGGAGAAAGGCAGAGTGTCAAAGGGAGAACCCAGGATGATATGGTGAGTTTTTGTGCCTGACAGTAAGCAGACCCAGTTTTCTGTCCCAGGAGCTGATACAAGTCAACGTCAGTTCCCCTTCGGGGTTAGAAACCCACACTCCACAGAAATGCTGAACCCTGGTGTCTGATCAGCAAAAGCCCAGGGTTTTCAGTTGTGATAATAGTGCATTGATTATCTTTCCACTCTGATTCATGCTTTTGTGTCCCGACTGAGACAATCTGGCCTGCTCTCGTGACACACAGTATTTCTCCTGTGGATTCTCTGAGTGCACAAATGCAGCAAATTTTACTTAGACCAATGATTTCTTTGGAGTTCATGTTTGGATGTTGTGTGAGCTTTTGAGGTTTGTTTGCTGTTTTCCTGAAGGAGGTCCGCTACTCTCAGGACGACTAGTGAATTACTTTATACAGCCCTTGTCAGTATTCCTCTGATGGGGTATGTGTAGGTCTCTTTCTGGGCTTTCTGTTTCCTACACTGATCCATGGATCTTGTTC